TCTCTCTCTCTCTCTCTCTCTCTCTCTCTCTCTCTCTCCTATTTCGCCTCAGATTCCGTACCCGTTATTTCTCTTTCTCTCCAAAATTTCTCTAATCTTGTATTCCTCTCCTATCATCCTCCTTCTCTTTTTTTTCACTCCTTGGACATGACCCATCAATGTCGAGGCTGATCTTGTTAGTCTTCCTTGACCACGCAGATTTGACCGCGGTCCAGAATTCGACATTCGCTTCGTTTCATTCCTCTACGCTGTTATTTTCCATCTCCACCTTCCATCCCCCCACCCCACAAAAAGATCCAGGTTCCCTGCTCTTTCCCTTAGTTCCTTCTCTTTGTTACGTCTACATAACTTATGATTGTCTGCAGTTTTCGTCACTTGACTCTATTGTTCTGCATAAGTATTTTTGCAAACGTATGACAGTCTAACGGCTAACTGTGCAAGACAATCATCAGTAGAAACGACCCCCCTCCCCCCTCTTGTTTTTTGTTTGTTTCTTTGTTTTTGTTTGTTTGCTTTGTTTTGTTTTGTTCATATTTTGGAGGTTTCTTTTCAAAATGGCCCTGTTAAAGACGCCACTTCTCTACGACAACTACTTTTGTCCTCGACGAGTGGTGGTTGTCATGGCAGCTGTGACGGTATCACTTTAATTAAATTAGATCTATATATTGTGTAATTCCGAAACGAATTAACTTTGTAGTGGAAGCCCAGTATTCTTTTATTTATTTAATCATTTATTTTGTATTCATTTAACCGAGTAATAATAAGCAAGAAATGTTCACCACCAGTCTCTGTGGTATAGCAAATAGACTGCTCGCTGCTGCACATAAGTGACGTGAGTTTGATTTCTATATATATGGGTTATTTTGGGGGAGGGGGGTTTGTCTATCAGTCTTCCTTGACCACACAGATTTGACCGCGGTCCAGAATTCGACATTCGCTTCGTTTCCTTCCTCTACGCTGTTATTTTTCATCTCCACCTTCCGTCCCCCCACCCCACAAAAAAATCCAGGTTCCCTGCTCTTTCCCTTAGTTCCTTCCCTTTGTTACGTCTACATATCTTATGATTATGTGCAGTTTTCTTCACTTTACTCTATTTTTCTGCATTAGCATTTGTAAATGTATTACAGTGCAAGGGCTGACTGTACAAGACAATCATCTGTAGAAAC